CCGTTGGATGAGATCAAAATGTATTACGATTGTCGGTACATATCTTTGTGTGAGGCGGCATGGCGGTTGTTGGGTTTTGAGTTGCAGTACAAAAAACCTCCCGTCCAGCGTTTGAACTTCCACTTATTTGGAGAACACAACCTTTTATTTGACGAAGATGCTGATCTTGAAAATGTTATCAATAAACCCACAGTTGATGAAAGTTAATTTCTTGCGTGGTTCGAGGCAAACAAAATATATCCTAAGGCAAGGGAACTAACGTATGTTGAGGCACTATCAAAAATTGTGTGGAATACAACAATCAGACAATAGACACCTCGAAAAGATGAGGACCAACCCTCTGTAGGCCGTCTACGATGCGTACCTCCCGACAGTGGAAATAATGACTACTTGAGATGTTTGCTGTTCATGTGTGATTTTACACCATATTTATTGAGAATCTAGAGCTTAGTCATTGCGTTATTGGTGTATAAATTGCATTATTGTGCTATAATTTTATATCATGTTGGAAAGGTATTACACGTGCTTGTTTTGTAGATAATTCCACATATTTGTAGAGCTTGTGGCTATTGGAGGCGCATGGTGAGTACCTAGGACCCCCGGGATGATGATAGATTGATGCACGGATGAGAAAAATGGAAGAAACGAGTGAAACGGACAAAAACGAGCAAGCAGGATTGTGACACGGGCAGTGACACGGGCACCATGCCCGTGTCAGAAGCCGTGTCACCTCAACAGAGAGAATTCGTAACCTGGGACCTGACACGGGCTGCGACACAGACGGTGACACGGGCAGAATGGCCGTGTCACGCGCGCAGATTGTATTTTATTTCTTGTCTATTTTGAATAGGAGAAGGGTTTTGGACATTATAAAAGGCATATTTACCCTATTTTGAGAGAGGAACGTGATTACACCATAGGGGAGTCCTAGAACACACAAGAGAAGCAATTGGGAAGCAAAAGAAGATCCAACTACAAAAAGATTCCTAGTTTTTCTTTCTTCTTTCCTTTTGAACTTTTATTGATTATGTCGATTTCTAATATGTCTATGTATTTGAATTCGAACATGATTGGCTAGTTTATTTGATTCTAGGACTTGGTAGTAGATTAATATGTTGGAATTTTGGATGAATAATTATAATTGATTGTTTTTCTTTTGAACCCTATTCAAATATTTTGTTCTTGTTTCATGTTTAGCACTTGATCAATGCTTTTACATGTTTGACAATATTGTTCATAATTCGAGAGATGAGTTCAATATTAGGTCTTTAATATTTGACACAATTTACTTGCTTGAATCGAGAGATTAGTAGGTCGTTGTGAGGATATTAGATCTTTTAATCTATTTGGAGTTGAATTGCATGTGTTGAGTGGAGACGCTAATATATGTGATTTAATCTACGGTTTTATCGATCTCGAGAGGGACGATAAGCTAAATTTGTGATCATCTTATAGGGTAGATAAAGGAAACATTTAGTTGTGATATTTCTGAAGGAACCCAACTATTAATTGAAACCAAAGTCTTAGAATCTATCGTTCTCATACATCTTCTTACGTGTTTTTCTAGCTAGTTTCTTCTTGTTGCTTTATTTCTCTTTAATTATATTTTCTTAGTTTAGTTAATCCATCTCATATTCGGTCGTCTAAATAAAGTTGACACTATCATAATCTGGTACTTGATATATTAATTATTTGGTCTCTTGGGATACGATCTTGCTTGCCACATACTACGAGCGAAGCCGTACACTTGCGGTTGAGCTTTAAAAATATAGGTGAACGTTTGCTCATTGTTGTGCGTGGGGCAACATGTCATGAGGACTATATAAAAGTCGGTGAAGTCCAGTATCTAACGTATCGTGATGCTTGCTACGAGTGCGGTTTGATTGAGGATGATCGGGAATATATAGACGACATTACAGAAGCAAGTCAATGGGCTTCTGCAGATTCCCTTATACCTATGTTTGCATCTTTGTTGGTGTCCAGTTCATTTGGAAGACCGGATGACGTTTGGACAAAGTGTTGGCAATGCATGTCAGATGACATTTCGTACAAACAGCGCCACTACAAAATAATGATGGTAATCAATTACTTTTTATAATATATTTAATCATAATTTGATTTTAATCTTTATATACAATGTTCTAATCGTGTTAATATTTTTTTTATTCCTATGCATAAATAATTGGTTTATAGGTTTGATGCTCACTGAAGAACAAATCAAGAACCTGGCCTTCCTGAGATTGAGAATTTATTGAGACAACGTGGGACAAGTCTTCGTGAATACTCAACTATGCCATTTCAGGATAGGGAGAACATCAATTCAAGTTCGAATCGTTTAATTTTGGATGAATTGAATTATGATCGAAAGGCCCTCGCTGTTGAACACGATATGCTTCTTAAGAAAATGACAGCCGAACAGAGGAGTGTCTACTCAAGAATTATGCCCGCTGTTAAATCCGGCCAATGAGGGCTCTTTTTTGTATATGATTATGGTGGAACTGGGAAGACGTATCTGTGGAGAACTTTATCTGTTGGTTTGAGATCCAAAGGGGACATAGTCTTATGTGTCGCATCCAGCGGAATAACATCACTTTTGTTGCTAGGTGGACGAACAACGGATTCTCGATTTGCTATACCCTTGAATCCCCACCAGGAATCTACTTGCAACATCAATCAGTCAAGCCCTCCAGCGGAATTAATAATTCGTGCTTCTCTAATAATATGGGATGAAACACCAATGATGCACAAGCATTCTTTCGAAGTTGTACAGACATCGCTGCAGGGTATTATGGGAGCAATTGATCCTTTGAACTTGAACAAACCGTTTGCTGGGAAGCCGGATGTTTTTAGTGGAGATTTTCGACAAATCCTTCCTGTCATTCCAAAGGGTAGCCGTCAGGACATAGCCAATGCTGTCATTAATGCTTCAGACATATGGAGGAGTTGTACTGTGCTTAGGCTTACGAAAAACATGCGCCTTCAGGGACTTGCTTATTCGAATGAACGTGATGAGCTTGCACGGTTTGCAGATTGGATAGCCAACATCGGAGATGGAACTATCAGGGGGTCGAATGATGGATGTGCACCTATAGACATACCCGAGGACATTTTGCTTCAGCCATCTGATGATCCTATTGCTCAAATCGTTGAAAGCACGTAGCCAATGTATAAAGAGGCACCCGGCGATCTGAGTTATTTGAAGGATAGGGCTATATTAGCGCCGATGTTGGATGTGGTCGAGTCTATCAATGAGTACATGACATCATTGAATTTGTTGGATAGTCGTATGTACTTGAGCTCTGACAGTACGTGCAAATCGAATTCTAATAATGATTTTTTGTCTGATCTCCATACGCCAGAGTTTTTGAATAGTATCAAGTCTTCAGGAATACCAAACCATGAGTTGTATTTGAAGATTGGAACTCCAGTCATGTTGTTGCGGAACATGGATCATTCTATGGGTTTGTGTAATGGGACACGATTGGTTGTGACAAAGCTATCCACTCACGTTCTTGAGTGTAAGATACTCACATGAGATCATGCTGGTGATAAGGTGTTGATTCCAAGAATGACCATAACTCCTTCTGATGTTAGAATTCCTTTCAACCAGCGGCGACAGTTTCCCGTTATGGTTTCTTACACCATGACTATAAACAAGAGCCAGGGACAATCCTTATCTGATGTTGACTTATTTCTTAAGAAACCAGTGTTCAGTGGCCAATTATATGTTGTTGTCTCCCGTGTAACTAACCGAAAAGGTTTGAAAATCTTAATTTGTGGCAAAGATGACATGCCAAAGAATCAAACCAATAATGTTGTATATAGGAAAGTGTTCAATAATATATGATCTTTTCAGTTTAATTTTATGTTTATATGTCTATTCTTATGATCACGATCATTTCATTATTACACAATTTATATACAAAGTTGTCTTTTAAAAAGCGTATAGATAATAATATCCCCGTGCATCGCACGTGTGATTATTAGTTACTTTTAAAACTCTTAAAAGTCTAAATTAAATGCATCGGGATTTTTAAAATCTTAAAAAGTCTAAACTCTTAAATGAATAGTTGAATACCCTCTAGGTCCCATATAATAGTTAAGTTGTATATGTGAGATTTTATACTCGAGAACTAGAGAACTGAACCGAACCGAACCGAAAATAACCAATTCGCTGTAGTTATTTGAAAAAAAAAATATTTTTTCGGTTTCGGTTATTTTTTGTATGTTCCGGTTCCAATTTTCGGTTCCTTTTCAAGTGTATGTGTATTAACCGAGGAACCGACTATATATGTGAAATATGCATGTTTCATATGTTTATGTGTATGAATCGATTCCGATTCTTGTATGTAATATCCGGTTCCTCATTTTTGCATTTCAGTTCTCGATTTTTCATGATATTTTTAATCCGTGAGTTGCAATTTTTTGACTGGTTCTTAACTCAAAACCGATTATTTTCGGTTATTTTTTATTATTCAGTTACCTGAAAAACCAAAAAACCGAATCGTTATAAACCAGCTCGGTTATTTTTCGGTTCCTACAATTATTTATGTACTAACCGAACCCTTTTTTTTTGGTTCGGTTCCAGATTCCTGAAAATATGATAAGAACCGAACCTATCCAAGGCCTATTAAGTGCACTTTTAGTCTAAATGTTGTCTTTCCATTCTTTTGTTATCATTTTAGTTTCAAATTGTAGAAATGCCATCCATCATTTTTTACTATAATTCTACTTGTACATAAAAATTTTACATGGAGTTGTACGTACACGTATATGATGTGATCAACATAGATGTGTTTGGCAAACACCATAAACTAGCTAGCTTATAATTTATTTGGACTCGCAACAATTCCAACCATCGTAAGGTTGTGCGTTCTTGTTAGGATCAACTTTTTTAAACTTTCAACACTAGTGTTGATACTACAGATCATTAACTTTTTCTAACCTTAATTTTGATGACTGTAGAACACTAATGGGTCATGAAAAATAGAGTAACAATGATTCACTATAACATCTAAAGAAACAAAGGCCAATCATTGTCCAATTGCAGTTGCATACTCATGCTCCAAGGGCACCATTACATGGAAAAACAAAACCGCGAAGAGAGACGTGGAAAAATGACACAGTGATGAAATGCTTCCTAATTGTCAATAATGCCCTCAATAACAACCATTTTGATTCACACAGAGCAATCAGTTAACTTAATTCAAAAGAGAGAACAACTCAACCTAAAGCAAATGCCACAAATACATCGATGTATACACGTGGGAATATAGCTTCAGAAATACAAGGAACATAACATTCTTTTATGCCTTAAAAAATTACCTGTCGGTAGTTCTTCCAAAAAAACTCTTACAACCTTAAAACCTGGAAAACCAAATCTATGCAAAGGAAAAAAAATAAAAAAAATTATGCTCAGCAACTCGAACATGAAGATCAAGTATAATAATAAAGCTTTTCTATATGAGAAGGTAAAAGACAGTTAAGACATACCTGGATCACACAACAAATCTTTGCTCAAACTCTTTCTTCTCATTCTGCTCTATTCAGAAGTGGTCCATAAATTTGTCTGAGTGTCTGCTTTAAGACTAAATCAAATCCAAATAACCTATATTCTATATCAAAAACTTTTACAAAGACTACAATATTTTTAGAATGAGATCCCAGGTTCAACTCATTTAACTCATTGTCGACCGGACTCGATATTTCTCCATATTTCAATTCTCATTACAACAAGAATAAGATCACGAGGAAAAATGGCAATAGGCATGTAACTAATAATACACGAGGCCTATTCATTGGTGAAGCATCTCCTGTTAGTTGAACAGACCCTGAGAAGCTTCCGGCTGTGGTGGTGCTCGGTGGAGTAGTGTTAGATGGAGCAATAGCTTTGCAACTTCCGAAACGCGCTCCAGCCTGCCAAAAGTTCATTTGATCATAAGTTAAAAATATTCCATTACAAGAAATAAGAGTGTGATAAAAAAAAACCAATCATTTTTAACTCAATCACTTTTTTAACTAACTTTAACCCAACCCCACTATCCTTAATATTATTAATATAATTAAACAATACCAATCAACCATTCTTACAAATCACATCAACTTTAATTCACTATTCATCTACTCACATAATTTTAACTAACCATCACTTCACATCATCTCTCTCATACTTTTATATCAAATCAAATTTAATTATTTTATTTTAAATATTATTTTAATAAACTCAAAATCTCACTAACAACTAACCATACCACATTTTTCAAACCAACTATGATTAACAAAAAAATCAATCAAAACCAAATCATATCTATATCCAATCACCCTAATCTTCAGGATGGCATTAGAATAAATGTCCACAACATTCGACCTAATTACCAAATAAATAAATGCTCCAGTTACATTTTCAAAACAAAAAGACGGAAATACTTCCTTCGAATCAGCCCCTTGAGGTTTATCAGTTTATGAAGTATAGTTTGAAAAAGTAAGTTGGGGGTTTGTGTATTAGGCTAAACCTAGAGGAGATCATTCATAATTAACCCTTTCAACATTCTTGCTTTTCTCGTTTCTGATCCTCTTGAGACGGTGGAGTTTGCAGAAAAAGGCAGCTAAACTAAATATCATAACTGTGGTCAATCTCATAAACACACTGGTTCGCATTCTCAGCAGGAAATGCCAAAAACTAGATCAAAATTCCCACCAGTATACATGAACCGTCAAAACAACTGAAGAAAAGAGTTTCATGAATAAATAATATGCTAAAGATCTACATAGCCCACGTACTTCCCCTTTTCACTTATCTATCTATCTTATGATTCAGCGATAAGAGCAGAAGATGAATTCATAACTGAAACCTAATTATGTATACAACTATACAAAGGTCCTTTCTTCAACTAAGATGTGCTTCAGACTTGAATATAAATTGTGAACATGAAAAGCAAGACTTCTTTAATAGGAAACTCTAATTCTGTTGGCTAGCAGTTCAAAGTCGACTAATGACGATAAAGAGTACTTTTGCAAGTCCATTATGAAGTGGACTTCTTATTTGGTTGTTTTCTATGAAGTCCTTTGACATTTTCTAACTCATGTTTGGTGAAACCCATTTTAGAAACGTGCTTTAGATGTGCACTCCATTCTTTAAATGAAATTATGTTAGATACACTTTTACGCTTACAACAATGATGCATCTAGTCATATACAGTAGTGTCTTTTGCTGCATATATATTTTTAGATGATTCATTTACTATCTAAAGATAGTTTATCAAGATATACATCTTTTAAAGAGTTGTTAAATAATTTTTTTATGGAACACACAAATAAATTTTCAAATCTTTTTGAAAGGACTATAACTCATTATTCAATTTTAGCTTCATAATTTACTGTTTTTAAATTAAAGCAGTTGAAGTCCATAAAAACAATATCCCACTAAGACTTGGATCTACATAGAAAGTTCACATAAAAAACGAAAAAAAAAAAAATGGAATTTCAGAAGTCTCCTCGGACTTCTTCAAAAGGTCCATTATATACCACTACAACACCCTAAAATCTTAAAGTAACTCTTAAGAAATCCATTCGAAAAGTGCACTTTGAAAGACGTTGAGAGTATGGAAAACCAGACCAAGCTCTAATCAGTGAACACCAAAAGCTCAAAGCACGTCATTTTATTTTGATTTATTATTGATTTACAACAAGGGTCTCAGTATTTCCAATCACAAGTTGACCAAAAGCATATACTGACTTAAAATACAGTACCAAGCTTGACTATGCCGGTAAAACGCCATTCGAATTCCAAACCTTTGTTATGCCTCAGATCATCACCAAACTAAAAGTGCCACCATTTTACACTTTATTAATATTAAATGAGCACCCAAGAAAATCTTAATGCAAGTTATTGAGGTCACATTATACTTATTTGAAGAAGTTTAACACAAACAAAATGGAAATAGCTGTCAGCAGAACTAGCCTAATACAGATGAACAAACTATTCATCAAAATACAGTTCCTTAATATTCATTTATAATTTATAAACCTAATCAGCAAAACCATTTTCATTAAATAATCAATTTGGGCAAACCTGGCAAGCAGCGACAGTACTACACCCACATAATGTCTGTCCATTCATTTGATCCAAAGCCTCAAATACACCCCCTCCATCACTCCTCTGCAAGACATTAAAATATCACCCAAAAAAAAAACATAATATAAATGTTCTATGTATTATAAAGCTAAATCATACCATGTAAAAATTCACAGCCAAGAAATTGGGCATTGAACTCCCAGCAGATTTATAACATGTTGCGACCATATCAGCAAGTGGTACCGAATGCTCTTTGCAGGCGTCGTTCTGAACAGGAATTGTTGGGAAATAGTTCATCAGAAATAGAGAAGCACTTCTTGAATTGAGCTGCTTTGACTCCCTTCTGTTTGGACACGACTTAGGTTGTACCCCAGGGTCTCCCGCTGAAACAGATCATCAAACGAGCTTTTTATTCTTATTTTGTCCATTCTATTTTACAAACCACATAAAAACAAAATCTCCATTCCACGAATTATTTATTTCAGGGAGCATTTGTAAACACTAAAACGCTTGTTTTTTTTTCTTTTCTTGTGTTAATTTCCTTCTAGGAGACATTAGAAAGACTTTCTTTAGTATACTTACGCTCATTTTCCACCATGTACCTCCATTGGTACGCAATTCCTTCACTCGCCTCTTTTGAAGAATCTGACGTGAAAACCAGTAGGCGATGATTGTTTTGAACCATGGTGTTAACCGTGGGCCAATCCTCACCCTTCTTTGGCATTTTCGAAACTGGGTACCAATACTTGTACAAACCAGCATCAGAAAAAACCCTTGTCAGCCCTTTCGGCGAGTGCACATAATCCTCGATTATTATAGTAACAATGTCCCATGGGTTCTGGGACAAGAATGCTTCCACTTCTCTCAATGTATTAAGTGCAGGTCCCTATAACCACATTTTCACCAGAAATTACAAATTGTTAAAACTA